CGGACGAAAAGACATCTTTCGAACTTGTTGCGATTAGTTTCATAAATTTTTTTTCTTCAAGTAAGAATAACGACGAAGAAGACTGACAGAAATCTAATTAATCACTTTTAGGTTGAAAAAAAATTTTTTTGGTTTTATTATTGCTGTTGTAGGTAATAAATCGTTTTTTGCCTTCAACGCTTTTTTTTTCGATTTGTTCGATCACTAATAACAACTAAAGTCCAACGCCAAATAAAAGTCTGTTATGTATTTATTTTTTATTATATTATATATTTAATCGCACTGTTTATTTGTTCTTCAAGAAGCTTCCTTATTTTATATTTTGAAGCTTTTTTACTGAAGAACCTTAAAAGAACTAAAAAGTAAACTTTCAAATTTTTTTCTAATACAGTTATGTCAAGTTGATTATCATCTAACGTCGAAGGAACTTTGGTTTTGTTGAACGTCTTTCACATACACCATTGGTCGTAACCTGAACTGTTTCTTCAGCTCTGTCAACCATCGACCTTTCACTCCACCCATAAGCTGCTCCTTCACTTACCTTTTCACTTGTCTGCTTCGACTTATCCTGATCATTATCTGTAGCTACAGTTTTGAACATCAATCTTCTGCATATAGGTGAGAGAGCAGAACAAAGAGGCCAGAAAAGAAAACATTTTTTTTTACCTTTACAGTAGATAAATGCACTTTTTTTTTCACCGCTAAAAAAAAAAAAAAACAAATGAAATAAGAAAAAACTATGATCTTATAAGATTAAAGTTCCAAATTTCTTTTGTCACTGTCAGTATTTGAAAAAAAGTTTTTTTTTTTTTTGTTTCTGTTTTGTCATCACTTTTATTTCCACTGCTTTTAGCAGTTTTATTCTTATAGCAGTTTGTTGCAACGATCAGTGTTATCAGATCATCTGATTGAAAATGTTGCTTTTTTGATTGGTTTAGAAACCAAACATTTTAGAAGTTACTGTTAACAGATACGTATGATTTTGAAGAATGAAATTTTGTCTAACTACAGTAACCTCATCTATTGTCTTTCTTCTCCTTCTTTTTCCTTTTTTAATATACCAATAACTTTTCTTCTTCTGCCACTTTTTTCAGATACAGTGCTTAAGTTAATGAACTAATAATGACAAGCCAAAAAATAACATTGAGAAAAAAGTAAAAAAAAAAAGCAGTTTTGTATGAACATTTAAGTAACCGTTTATTTACAATTAATTTTAACAGTCTTTTTATTAACCTTCATAAAACCCAAATAAGTAAAATATGTTTCCAAGAACTGCTTTTATTTCTTCTTTGTCTAGAAAAATGAAACACCCATATAAATTTTATCTTTGCGAACAACGTAAAATAGTATTAAATCATTAAGTGTGAAAAAAGTGTTTACCATAAACAGAGCAGATAGAATTGAAGAAAACAGAGGAAAATAAATACTGTTCTTCATTATCGGTTTGTTTTTGACAAAATAAAGGAAGTAAATTCTAGTGTTTTTTGTTCGATAAGAACAAAAACGGCACAGAATAAATAGTTGCTAAAAAAACAGTTTATTTTTTCCTTTTATCGTTTTTAGCTTTCTCTTTTTTTCCCCCTGTTTTGTCTTAGTCTACTTTACCGGAAAAGATAGGCGTTGCTGTGTAATTAAAAGAAAATCTTTTGTGAAAACTAGTGTCAGTTAATAAAACAACAGAAACCTCTTTAGCTAAAAAAAAAGAGGAATAAAAGTTGTAAAAAAAAAAAATATTTGGAGAAAACCGTAAAAAAAAGATTCAAAAATAGAAGACAACTTATATTGGGCTAATGTTTTTGATTTTTGAGAGTTAAGGTAACAAGCAGTTTATTACTGATTGTTCAGTGTAAATTTAGGTTTTTCCTGTTCGAAAAAAAAAAATATTTCACTAAAAATAGAAAATTATAGAAAAATAAAGAAACAAGAAAAATTTTTTTTTGTTTTACATTTTTTTTTCTGCTTACTTTTATTTCCTGTTTCTTAGTATCACTTTAACAAAACCGATTCTGTTCACCACTGAATCTGTGTGTTTTGTTGGCTACCATTACTGGAAGTTACTAGCCGCTTTTTTGAGCTTCTAATTTCTTATACGAAATAGCGTCAAAAAAAAAAAAAACAAGAAGAAGAATTTTTTTGGTATTACTTAAATATTAAACATTAAAAAGTATCAATTATCCAAAAAAAAAAAAAAAATTTAAGAATTGATTCAGCTTAATTAGCCTTCAAAACAAAAAAAAAACTGCAAACTAAAAGTGCTGTAGTTTACTGACTAAACTTTTCCTTCTATTGTTTTTTAGCCTTTTTTCTACTACAATCAGTGATATGTTTTGAAGATATCATTATTTGTCTAGCAGTTGTTATGTCTATTTATTTTGCAAAAAAAAAAATTTTGCTCAGTCAAATTTTTTCACCATTGACAAAAAAGGTAGAAAAGTTGTAAGTTTGAGTGAATAAAAGGTGAATAAAGTCAAGGTGAACAGAATTCAGTAAAAAAAAAAAAAAACAGTTTCAAAAACTCGTCAACCGGAAAAAAACTGTTTGACAAAGAAGATGATACATTGAAAATGATGCATTTGTTTTCATAATTAACTTTTCTAAAAAATGGTTTATCAAGATGAAGTAACGGAATTTATTTGTTTGCTGTACTGCCTGAGCTTTAATTTGCTTCAAAAACTTGCTTTAACACAGCCATATTCGGTCATCTTAGCCTTTCTTAAAAATAGTTCTAAAAAAAAAAACAATCTTATTAGATTAATCTATAGTCAAAAAAAAACTAAGTTTCAGTGTTTTGATTATAGCCTATAGTCAATGTTTCGCTGATTATAATAGGTACAAGCACTCAAAACATTATTAGCATCATTAATACAGGTTTGCGGCTTCCATGAGTTGACTGAAACCCGTTAAACGTCAACAAATCAAAGTGTATAGTTGATAATAACTAACAATAACAAAGGGCTACAAGAAGCTGAACTTGTCACTGTTGTTCTTAATTTGGCAATAAAACATCTTTCGAAAACACGCAAAATGAACATTTTTCTCATTGAAATTTGTCATTAAGGTTGACAGACTATTTTCAGATAAATAATCGCATATTGAAAGTCAATCTTCGCTCTACGTACTGATCATCAAACAGTCAAATCTGATGAGTAAAAAATCTTTTTTTTCTTGTATACCGTGAAGTAGAGAAAAAAATTAATAAATGAAAAAAAAAAGGAAGAAAAATATTTGTTCACAATCATAACTGTTTCATTTTCGTAAGTTTATTTGCACTTTAATCTTAAAAACTTCCTTTTCACTTGTTTGACCTCTTCGCTTTTCCATGTCCGCCTTTCTCGTTGACAAATTTTGCTAAGAACAAAAGTGTTAAATTGCCAGTTTTTGCTGAATGAACTAAGAATCGAACAGATAGATAACTGTAAAGTTAAAATCTGTAAATTGAAACAAGTTTGTACTTTAACCAACCACATTTTTTTTTCACCTTTTTCAACAATTCGGTCTCTGTTTCTTTTGAAACACATAAACTTTAGCCAGTATAAAAGACTAACAAATGGACAGGGTGCCTTCATGTTTCGAACATCGACTTCCCTGTCTGCTCGTGGCTACCTTGTATTCCAAATTTCTTCATACTTTTTCCTTCTGAATTGAAGAGATAGCAAACGTTTTTCTGCTTGAATTTTGAAATTATATTTTATTTTAAACAGAAAACCATTTTACTAATGTGCTTTACAGTATCATTCTACGGCTAATTTTAATTACTATCACCTACTTTAAACAACTTTTGTAAAATTTAAGTATTCGGGATGAAAATACTCTCAGTTCATTTTTTGGTCTTAATCCAGTAATACGAACATTTTACAGGATGCTTCGACTTTGGTTTCTGTTAGCAACACTCAGCTGTTGTAGCTGTCTGACAGCTGCTGGTAGTTGCTGCTGTCAACCGAGTTGTCAGCCTAGCTGTGGAGATTCTTCAGCAGAAACAAAAACAATTAAAGCAACAATTATAACGTGCCCTAAAATGGTTTGCCCACCAGCAGTGTGTCCAGCTCCATCGCCGTGCCCACCACCAGTTCCTCGATCAGCTTGTGCTCGACCATGTCCACCACCACCTCCAGTAGCAATTCTTTGTAAAACGACACAGTGTGAGTCACCTCCTTCGCCTCCACCTTGTCCAGCACCTCCACCATGTCCACCCCCACCAGCACCAGAACCATGTCCAACTTGTCCACCACCACCACCTCCACCACCACCATGCCCAGTCTGTCCAAAACCACCACCACCGCCGCCATG